CACAAAACATCCAAGAAGCAAAAAACGCAAAAACGCACGCGCGGTTTTAGAGCCGTTAGCAATAACAAGAAGCTACGTTCGGGGCTCCTGGCCTTACTACGAACGGAGCAAGGACGGTACGTTCGGGGCTCCTGGCATCGCTACGAACGGAGCATTCTTACTAATTACTATAGTAACAAAGGCAAAAAAATCGAAAGCTCGATTGAAACCGAGAGTCTTCCCACCAAAACGTCCAACCACACGAAACATCAACACCCCAAATCCGAAATTCGGGCGGCCTTGTGTAGGGCGGCCGGGCGTGGAAGGATGAAGGTGTTCACCGATAACTGCAGCATTCGTCGGGAAGGGAAGGGTTGTTCGCCCCAAAAGCTGAGGTCGGGGGTCACTTTGCCGCCGGTTGAAAGAAAAGGCCCAAATGCCGGGCCAAAGTAGGACAGTAGGAAGTAACATATTCATACATCCGTAGAGTGCGTATACTAGGAACAAGAAGCTACTAGTAACAAAGGGCATCGCTACTAGTAGAGTGCGTATACATCATATTTATAGCTTTATATAGTGGCTCGTAGGACTCGTAGTGGCTGGTCAGTCTATGGGCAAAGATTGCAGGTCTCCAAATCGCCAGCCATTGCGAAATGGCTGCACAGGCCAAGTAGTAGCGTCCTTGCTCCTAGTAGCGATGCCCTTTGTTCCTAGTAGCTTTTTGTTCCTATCTATTCCCTCCTCGGAACTCTTGCCTTAATCCCAAATGATGGTTTATACTGGGCCTTGCGAAGATTTTGATTGTCTATAGAAGGATCTGTCCAATTCACCTGGACCTAGATTCGGCACACATGTTCTGAGTCTGTCTGGTATGTCGGTCAAAATCGAAAAAGACAAATGCTTTACCAGAGCCTGGTGTGATATAGTTGGCTGCTTTGCTTGCGCAAGCGGCGCAGGAATGGTGTGTGCAAGGTAGCTCTGCACGGCCCTGCCACCCTGTCGTTTGCTCCTGAAGCTTCACCCTAGTATTCCACCATGAATTCAATAGGCTTTACAGAACAACATAGAACCATGAATGTGAAACAGAAGGATTTCCACTACACCAGGATTTCGTTATCAAAGATAAACACTCGTCTTGGACTCGTCTTCCTGCATGCATCATCCGGATCCGATCGGTTTCCCCTTGGAGGATCCAGAAACATACCTGGACCTTCTTTCGGGGTGTCCTGGCTGGAGATCCCTTAGTGGTGGGCTGGGGCTTCCAGACAGGGCACCCCGTCCTGGTAGGTCCTGGTAGGTTCTGTAAGTGACCCAGTGACCCCTTGAGTCTTCTGTAGCAGGGTGGTTGGTGATCCAGAAGTTACTCAAGTTCTAGCTGTATACCATCTATCAAAATACATATAATGGTACAGATTTATGATGATTTTTGTGTATCATTGGAAGCTATACAGGATTATATTATATTTCAATGCGAAGACTGCCTGTCATTCTACTGCCAGGTCTCTCGCCACGTGACGTTTGGAAGACCTGCTGCAACCCCTGGCGCTACGATGGCTTTGGTAGCGATCAGTGCTTCACTGCAGTGCAGGGATGGCAGGTGCCTTGGGTGCCGACCACGCAGCCGCACAGGGCGGCGGTCGCTCCCCCCGATTGGTTCCCACCTGGGCTTTCGCACCGGGGGAAACGCCCTCCCATCTGGCAGCTGTCGACACGCATGTCGACACGCCTGCGCCGGTTTCGACTTCCCCCCTAGGCCAGGCGCTGCTGTTCGGCGCTGGAGCCTGAGAACTTCACGTCCAGAGCATGGAGGCGAGTGGAGTGGGGTGGAGGGTGTCGGTGTCGTTCTCGCTACTTGGGCAAGTTCAGAACCGAGCCAAGCTCAGAGCTTGGCGCTGCAGGGATAGGTTTCACCCCTAGGAGATGGGGGGACTCTTATGACACGAGGGGTATGGGTGACTTAGCCGTTGGACGTCCATTGCAACACCTGGTCCTCCACCCTTTGGAGTCAATGAACCCTCTGCTTCGAGTCGCTGAAGGTCCTTGTTTCGCACTGGGCTCGGCCCCTGGAACGCCGCTGGAGCTGCAGAAGTCTTCGGCTCGTCGCTGAACTCGACGGGCTCTATCCTCGTGGTGTATCACAAGAGTGGCGCCACCCTATCCTATGCGTGCCTGGGAACTGGTCGAGAAGAACCGAGCGAGCTGAGCGAGCGCGCGGTTTGTGCGTTGACATGCGTCACCTGGGTCGAGACAGAGAGGGCGCTCTACCAGACCTGAAACACTCGAACCTGGCGATCCGATACAGGCAACAGATAATGTCATGCCCAGAAGCAAGAATAAACCAGAATTCGCTACGGGGAAGGTTTCGTAAGATGGCGTGCCCAACCTGAATCGCAGGCGACCTCTAATGATGTTTGTGTCCAAATGTATCCAAATGTATATTTGTGTAGCGGTGCCTTTGGGATTGGCTATTAAAGCCAGCCTTGAATAGCTTTGATTGACGAGCTTAACATCTTTTGACTATGGCGGTTGCATCGGGAGGATATCCCAACAGAGGATGCACTTATGTATTAGTTACCCGATGTATGGCCTCAATGCATGCAATTAACGTTCCGGATTTCATACAGGATGGTTTGGTTATGCTGTTCTAGTCAAAGAGCAGTTTTGGGTTTAAGGTGGTGTGTGCGTGTGACTTGGCAACTTCCTCATGCAAGCCATTGCAAGCCAGCGAGGTCGCCAGAATCATGGGTGCATATCCCCAAGTTCCTTTGCATTGTGAGATTCATTTGGGTCTTCTGGCAAACTTGTGCGGCACACTCGTTGATTCTTTTTCGCTTGGCTTCATGGTCAGACATATTGGTGCCAAGACATCTGCAGCATGGTCAGACATACAGATGAGGCAAAGTGGGGCTGTAAGCGCACAAAAAAGAAAGCCAAGTGGACGCGGGGCGTTCGCTAGCGTTTCTGGTCAGACCAGAGAAATTTCTATCCGGGACTCCCAAGATGGTTTTGCTGGGTTTACCCAGTCCAAGGTGGTACCAAAATTGCAGATCCTGAAAGCGGAAGTCGCTGGGACTGGGGGTTTTCCATCACATTCTTCCGTTTAGGACGTTCGCCGCCTCTCTTCGGATCCTCAAAGCGACCTACAACCCCCCCCCTCCGCTGCAACTGGGCTTCTCAGGTTGCAGAGGCTCCCTGAGCTCTTGCGGCTGCTCCTGGGCCCGGAGACCCTTCGCTGGGGCGCGCGGTGGCAGCGGCTCTTCTACACGCCCAGCAGCCCTGCATATCAACGGAGCCTGCTGGTGAATCAGAACGCCCATGGGCGGTCCATGATCTATGCTGCAACCTGGAGGAAGAACATGTCGCTATCTCGCTTGGTGGTCTCGACGTCCCGCTGGACCGAGAAGTCCATGCTAGTCCCTTCTGAAGGCCTTCCGAGCGACTGAAGGCCTTCCCATCGTCTTTTTGGCTCTAAGAGATGATTGACTTGGTGTCTCTTCTACCATGCGCAAGAATATGTAAAGGCTCTGGAGAGGCGTTGGAGCCGCCGGTCTCCAAAACGACCCTGACCGATGCGAACCTGACCGCTCCGGTTGAGGAGCATCGCCAAATCAAGGCCCAGCCAGTCTACCTGGTTCATGGATCAAGTTCGCAGCTGCTGGACATGTTTGAGGCCTACAAAAACAGAGCCCTCAGGTGGCGAGGAACCTTCCAAGAATTCATGTAGATTGGCCACACATGACAGGGGGTGTGTAGGGTGTGTACAGCTGAACAGCTAAGCACCGTCCGTGGTGAATTGGAAGGTACTCTCTCCCTGGAACTACTGTGGTGACTCGTGGTTTCGGCACCCCGATTCCGCACGCGCCGTGCGAGCAAAGGTGGCTCCTTCAGAGACAGCGGCTCCAGAGGTGACGAAGCATGTGCTGAAAGGTCATAATCATCGGCTGGTGCATATGGCGACTCGTGCTGGTCCTTCACGCCAAGCTTTGCATACACATCATCAGAATTGTTATATGGCTACGGCCAAAAACATAAGGCTTGGATCACACACCCAAACCCACACACGATCCATACCTCGATCCATGGGGTATGGATCAAAAGGTGGGTGTGTGATCCAAGCCCTTGGATCACCACCACCACTACTACAACCACCTCTGCTGCCACCACTGCTACTGCCACTGCACTTGCCACCTGCTGCTACTACTGCAACAGCTTTACTGTTGCTGCTACTGCTACTCACTACTATCAGCAGTATTACCACCACCACAGATTTAGCGGAAGCCACTAGACTCAACTTCAAATTGACTTCCCATTCCAGCCAAAATTAATTACCGGAAGCCACTAAGTGTGGTCACAGCCGGGACTCGAACCACCACTACTACAAACCACTACTACAACCACCTCTGCTGCCACCACTCCTTCTGCTGCTTTGCCTGCAACAGCTTTACTGCTGCTGCTACTGCTACTCACCACTATCACCAGTATTACCACCAGACTCAACTTCGAATTGACTTCCCATTCCAGCCAAAAATTAATTACCGGAAGCCACTAGGCGTGTTCACAGCCGGGACGCGAACCCTCACCCTGTGGAAGTGAAGAATTGGAAAGCGACGTCTTTACTATTAGGCTATGCAACCCTTTGAGGGGAGGAGTCAACCCAACTAACCCATATTAAATAAGGTGCGAGAACACAATATGAAGGCCAAAGAGAATTAGCGGCAGCCACTAAATCAGTTTTCGGAGCGCGCCTCCAATCTAGAGCTGAAGCCACCACCTGTTAAATGTCTTGAAAGCCCACTGAGTCACCAATATGCGCGGCCAGCTGATTGCCCAATATGTGGACAGTGGAGCCCAAATTCACAGCGGCCAGAACTTCAAAACAGGCTTGCCGCAAACAGGATGGCTTTGATCTGGGAAGCCACCACCTTCACAGTGAATTGGTGAGAAAGTGGTGGGGTGAAGTGCCACCATGCAGATGTGTTCATGTTGGGGGCTTGGATCAAGTGACTTGTCGGTTTGATCCATAGGGCTTGGATCAGCGCTCTGATCCATAGGGTTTGGATCACTCTCACTGCAGCGCGGAACGATCCATACCAGGGTTTCTGGCCACACCCATATGTTATTGCACTGTATGATGTTCTATGACTTTCTTATATATACAAATATATATGCGTGTAATATGTATGTGGGTCTCCCCCTACAGAGGTAGGAGTCTGTCCTCTCTCGGTGAACCGTCCAATTGGCTTGAGAAAGGATTCTTAGTGTATGCAAAAGATACCTCCCAGGCTAAGTATGTCCGAGATTCGTGGATATATATATATACTATATATAGATATATTGTTTATATATATGGTTTGTATATATATATATGTGTGTGTGTTTTATATATATATATGATGCGACGTGGCTTTTGGAAAAAAAGTAACATTGGCTAGAACGTGGTGTTCATACATGTTACATGTTCGATAACAATGCATCTGATATGGCACAATGATCGAACGAGGCTTGAGGCTTCCCTCAGAAGAAATTATTGTAGTACTACCCTGCATAACTTCACTTCGTGATCCACTTGAAACGGGCTGGAGAGAAGATAGGTGTTTACTAAGCGAAACAGCACCCATTCTACAAATGTTTTTCCCCAGATAGCGTGTTCTTACTTCAAGTATAGGAAGAGCTGCGTGTGTTCGCTTTCAGGCCTGGCTGCTCCGCTGCAGAGTGCCCGCGTGCGTGCTTGGGAGCTTGAGTGCTTGGGTGCTGGTGCCGCTGTAGGGTGCCGCTGTACGCATGTCTTTGGGTCCATGTGATGTGTTCAGGAGCGTCGTGGGTTCGTCGTGTGTTCAGGAGCGCCGTGACAGGGACGAAAGAACGCCATGATTCCAATGCGGGGTCTATGCTGGCGTAATTCTTTCCCCAAAGGACAGTCGAAGGAGGTGTTCTTGTTTACAGCCCTATTTGAATTTGTGAGTGAGGCCATTTGTATCCAAACCATTTGGAGATTGGATCTGAAGTTATAGGTGTATGTCCAAATGCTTGATCACGTTTATAAGAAGTTTTAAGACATTTGGGAGCCAAGAACAGCAAGGGCTTCAATTGCACACTAATGTATCAATATCCCCAACTCTCAACGTATCCAGACAACGCAGTCCAACCATCAAAGTATGTTTTGTATGCACGAGAACGGTTTTACAAGGACATCCAACGGTTTATGTTCACTTGTTGGTTATGTGTTGTTTGGGATTGAAGGGTTCCTGGAATTTCGGCTTCGGAAGGGATGATAAGTCCACAGTCAATGTCAGAAACGCAGCACAACAAAGGGACAACAAAAGGACATCAGAGGCAACAAATTCAAAAGACAAAATGTTGAGCACATGCAGTGATTGCAAGCCTGGGGTGCAAAATCAATGCAAAGGCCCAGAGTCATATTTGTTGCAAATCAGGAGCGCCCAGTCCAGCTTTCCCGTTTTGGGCCATTCGGATGTTTGTGTAGGAAACCATCTTTGGGCACGGAATGAGGACGGTACGGTGGCTAGTGAGGGAGGGTGTTTCTTCCTCACCGTACTCATGATACAGAAGGATTTCATCAGAAAAGATGACTTAGTCTTGACATGTGTTGACTGTTAATGATCAAAAATATATGGAGGAGTGATCAATCAACAGTCTACACGATTTACACAGCAACAATAATCAAGTGGTGCCTTGAGAAATCCGCACGCAAAAATCAGGTGAGGAAACCCAGTGATTGGATTATCTCTGCATACCTTTTCCACTTGAACGAGTGGGAGGCCCGGTCGAGACGAAGTGAGGAGTCCGTGAGATGGGACGGGAATGGTGACGACCCAGACCATCCATGGGACGGGAATCGTGACTGGAAAAGATGTGAAAAGTTATAGACAGCATGTAGACTATAACCATGTTGACCCATGTTGACAACACTCTTCCATGTAGCATTTTCATGGAATAGTTATAGTACCCCATTTTCAATGACTCAGATCGCTCTTCCAGTCCTCATGGATGGACGATCGGAGACCGACCCCCTTCACAGACGATCCGAATAGAATCGACGGCATCGACCGCATCGCGTCCAGTTCGTTCGACCACTTAAGAGGCGACCAAATCCCTATGGTTTTGAAGGCCAAAGGCCTGTTTGGAGCGTCTGGGCAAGACCACTTAAGATCTGCTCTCGGAAAGATCAAGAAAATCTCAGTTCAAATTGTGACGGTGGGTGAAAGACGATGACTCTTTCAGATCAAAGGCCCGTCGCTTGTTTGGTTCATCCTCCAGTGGGCCACAGCTCGGGACATACCCATTTCTGCAGCAGAATGAATTGCTCACCTTTCGCGCCGTTGTCCTCTGGTATGTTCAATCCTGTGAAGTCCGTCATGTCTCCTTTTATTGAAAGAAAGGTCATCTGAGCTCTCTGAAGGCAGATCCACCGCGACGCCGTTTTCACGTCCATCAACTCCGGGTCGACCCACGTCCATGTCCCGAACGTCCGTTCACGGGAGTTGTCCGGGTGGAAACGGTCGAAACGACGTTGGAGGCGTCCATCTCGTCCCCTGGCTTGACCATGACTGTTTGGACCCGCCCCGAGGCGTGGTTCGACTTGCACGATCCGCCGAACTGCAACAACTGCCATCATGGGGCTTGGAGGAGCCTAGGTTGAAGCGAATCGCGATTCGGTTGGAGAGCATTGCCCGAGCTTACAGAAAATCCACCGTGGGGGCTTTGGACGCTTTTAGAGTGAGGGTAGATCACTTGGACGTCAGTTCTTTGAGGGTTGGAGGCCATTGAAGCTTACTCTCCTGTACAGGGGGGGTCGAGCAGGCTATCAAAAAGCGGCACAGACCTTCCGGCGGCTTTCCTTGCTCTTTGCGATCTGACACGGAGGCACAACTTGGTTGGTCCCTGGAACCAGTTACAGCGAGATTTTCACGAAAGCAAGAAACATCAAGAAACGTGGCGAGAGGAACCATTCTCTGAAGTGCCCCACCAAACCATGGTGTGTCAATTTGATTTTGTTCATGTTCGGTGGTCAACCAGGGTGCCCGGGTTTTGACCCACAGCCATATACTGAAAACTGAACAAAGCCAACAGAAATCCGGTCGCAAATGACAAATGAGTGTGCTTTTTCGATGTTTGCCAAAGATTGGTTGACAGTCTTTGCAATGAAGTTGCCTTTACAATGATTGGTGCAGGAGTCCAGGATTCCATTCCAAGAAGATCCACGCGAAGACCCGCTTTCCGTTGGCTTTGCACACATGAAAATCAGCCCGTTTCGTGGTTGGCACCCAATTATCGATGAGGCCACGCGGATTGGGCCGTCCTCCAAGCTAGGAATGGCCTCCAAGCGAATAGCAAACTTAAGGAACTACAAGTGGGGCATTTGCCGATGTCAGACAGCAAAACAGCCGATTCAGCAATTACGATTCAGAAATCAAAAAGGACGATTCAACCACTACGATCAGAAACCAGCCTTGGTCCGCTTCAGGAACCAAGGCTGGGCCGATTCAGAAACCGGCCTCGAATCTGACGTCGACCGCCACAGTGCGTGCGGCCTTCGCTAGCGATGGCGGAGCGGTGGAAGACCTCTGTTCACCTGATCATCGCTCGTCACGGCTGTGGCACAAACAGAAGCAGTGGAAAAACCTGGATTAGTTGGAGAAGCCAGCCATTCTGGTGAATAGAGGTCAAGAAACCCGAGCCAGGTTTAATCATGACCAAGTGTGTGTGTGTGTATATATACACATAGAGACATAGAGAGATATATTTATTTATAACTATCCAAACAGCCCTTCAGCCCTTGGTCCCTCAAAACTTAGGGATTTGAGACACCAGACCCCTCCAATATGAGGGTCCATGAGCGTTTGGGTATTATGTAGTTGTTTGATAGTTATGACCAAGGGTTCAGGTGTTGAGTTTACCCTATTTCAGATCGTGTCATTTTTGCAAGGCCCTTCAAATCGTTCCTGCCATTCAAGATTGAAGACAATCCTACCACTACACTCTGTTTGACCTCAATTGCAGCAATGGTTTCCCCAAACCCAATGCAGCAGATTCACTTCTACACCACCAAACCACTCATACCAAAACGTGAGTGAAAAAAACTCCCTTTCATTTGGCACAAGACTAATTATGGTAATTGTTTGCAATTTGTTTATAAAAGGGCTGCGATCACGTCAGCGACCGCCGCCGCAAAGGAGGATCTTCAGCAATTGTGACTTCAAGTGCTCATACCAAGAACTGTTGCAGAACAGCACTTTGGAACAGGGAGTGGAACTGGAAATTCACCGTAGCAGCTGGGAGATCATCAAGATGTTGTACAACATGAAATTGTGGCACCGCGCTCCAAACACGTTGCTGGGCAGAGACCTTTTGTGTATCGGATACGTTGCTGTCCAAGTCACCGGTTCCTCGGCATTCTTCGCTGTTTCTTCCCCCTTTGGGGTCCGATTCGTTTGGCCTCGGTGAGTGGCCTCCAACCTAATAGGAAACCATATCAGACCGTTCTTCCTTTTCTGTGTTCTTTGTTTCTTTACTAGCGATGGCCTGCACCCTAGTAGCGATGGCCTAAACACCCAGCTGGACTTCATAAGTCATCCACACTGGCCGACTCGTCGGCCTTTCCTGAGGCTGCATCTCTCTTTGGTGCACTTCTCCAACCATTTTGATGCCACGGTGCAGTGTATGCTGATCTTTTACTTGGAGGGCCGTGCGCTTCCTGGTGCGAAGCCGACGTGGCGAAGAGTCCATGAGACGGGATCTGGTCATGGGACCATGCGGCGTACTAGTAGTAACAAGAAGCTATTAGAATTAACTAAATTCTAACAGCTTCTTGTTACTAGTAAGGCACCTGTTACTACTAGTAAGGCGACTTGTTTCTACTAGCTTCGTCCGCGGAGTAGGAGTGGTCCCGTTATGGAGGCCATCGCTCACAGCTTCACCACACCCGGAGGGGCCCACCTCTGCATCCCAGAGTGATCCAGTCCATCTGAGCGAATGGAGATTTTCGAGGCGGTGGCCTTTCTTGCGATGAGAGGAGGTGTGTTCGGCCGCGCAGAGAGCGCGCAGATCTCTGCCGCTGGAAGTTTGGGCACCCAAAAATGAACGAATGTCTAGAAGTTTGGCCATCGACTGACCTCCGAATGGTCCATTGGAGTCCCTCACAAAACATCCCTGAGAGACAGTCCTTGTTTGGAACTTAGGCTTCGTGTCCCACCGGGCAGTGCGAAGATGCAGCAGTTGCTGGTGGCCGCTCGTGCTGCGGGAAGCACGTCCAAGAAGTATCACATGGACCCCGAGATCGTCCAGGGCGCGAGGCCGGGGCTGCCCGGGCTGCGCAACAACATGCAGCAACGAAGAACCCTACGAGCGATGGCCTCCAACCTACTAGGAGGCCACATCTGATTTTGGGCCACCAGATTGGAGGGATTTTGGGGCAGAACGTTTGGGCCCTCACGACAGGCGCCCTGTGAATGACGTCGACATCCTCCCTTTTTCTGGCTTGTTTAGTATATTTAGTTGTCTTGTTTTGTTCAACAAGGCTTCGATCTGCGCATTTGTCCCGAAGAAAAAGGATTCGATCCGTCGCCCGACAGCTCGAAGGGCAGCCTCCGCTGCCCAAAACGTGACAATATGCGGCGCCAGGAGGAGCGTGCACCGATGCGCGTGTGTGCAGTGCGTTGGTTTGCAGCGACCTCCCCCAAAGCTCCACACGAACAGTTCGGCAGAATTCCCCCACTGCCCCGGAATCGCTACCTTGCGGCAGTACAATCCGAAAATCAGGTGCAAAACAACATAAACAACATTGGCTGCTGCATCATGGAAGCACACAGCGAACAACGGAGTCGTCACGCGTCGCCCGCCCACCGAACGCGACTCTTCTCGGCCGGCGACGACGTCGCCACGATCCAGGCAGCATTTGCAGATGCTCATGGCGAAGGAGAGCGCTGTGGTCGGGTGGGGCGGGGCGGCGCGGGTTCCTGCGCGGTCACGACGTGGGGCGCGAGCTGGGCCGTCGGTGGAAGTGCCACGATCGGTGTGAGACTCGGTCTCGCAGGGAAGATCCATGCGGAACAGAGAAGACACTCTCCCAATTGCAGGAAGAATGTCTTGGGTTCGTGGTACATCCCATACAGATCACCAGAAGGTCAAATGATGCTTTTGGTGCAAAGGTTCGGCAGGAACGAAGAAACGAGCATGTTGTTGTCTCATTGTTGAGCCGGACTTGGTGTGGATCCAAGCCAGGTTAACCTCAGTTTTGGAGAAGACAAGCATGTTCTTAAAGTCCTGAGGTGAAATGTAGACTCTTGATCAATAACTCCCCCGATGAAGGGGTTTTGCAATCCATATTAGGGGGTGTTATTAGTCAAGAGTCAGAGTCGACAGTTCCAGTGCTCGTTTCTGGCTTTCGACCGTAGGAGGACTACCGCTTCCTGAGAGATGCAGATCTTCTCTACGATCAGCTCATGTTGGAAAGCCAACCACAGAGAGCGCGCTTAGGCTGTCCAGATTGGAAAAGAAGCGAAGTTGTGATACCCAGAGACCAAAACGTTGGATTTACCTATTTTCTGCTCACTTCGTTTGCGCAGCGGCAAGCCTCCAAGGGGGGTTGCTCTCTTTAATGTTGAGTCTGTCAACCCTTCACCAGCCTTGTTTCCAAGAGGAGCCCGCCCTTGAAATACATCCTGGCATTCAATGAAAAGGCGAAGAAACCAACACAGCTGTTGTGATTATATAAATAAAGAAACATCAATATCAACGAAGAAAATGAAGAAATATATGAAAAAGAGATAACATTCAAATACCGGGGTTTCAGAGTGGCACACACACCCAAATCTCTTCGAAAGATGGGGGGGGCCCCCTTTAAAAAAATATAAACAAACACTCCTTTTTGGGGGCAACTGTGCCATTTCCTAACAGAGTAGAAAGAAGAAACGATCACCTCTGAATTGCTTCAGATTCCTGCGCCTGAGGCCGACCGAGCCCCGGTTGCCCAACTTCATGGCGGGGCGACCCAGCCGACCAGCGAACGGCGTGCGGGCGGCCGGGGCGACGGTTTCGGACCATTGACAGATCCCAAATTCTGCAGGAAGGAAACAGTCTGCACCCTAGGGATCCAAGTACCTTCTCAGAAAGTATTTGGACCCTCCAAACCTACATAACAGTGTTTCCAATCACCTTCTGAGAAGGTACTTGGATCCCTAGGGGCAGAAGAAATCCTTTCCAAGTTTCGATGCGAAGATTCGGCAGAAGACGTTTTTTTCCAATCACTGTTTCTCTGTATATAAAATATTTGTAATATATGTTCTTATATTAGAATGAAGTCTTGGGACACGCTTCCAGAGAGTTGTCGACCCTTCCAGCACTCTAGAGTTGTCGACAAACTCAGACTTAGATCCAAAGCATGTCCAAACTCTACTTGATCCTAGTCTTGATCCTCCCTTGGACTTCTCTTTCCAAGTCGGAGAGCACGCTGCGACCGGTCTCCCACGTCTCACCGGACTGTTTCGGCGGAGCGGAGCACGCAGGCGCTGTTTCGGCGGAAGCAGGCGAAGGCGGGTCAACGGGTGTTCGACTTGACGGACCCGGTTTCCAAAGCGACCCGGTTTCACCAACTGGGAGGATGTCGAACTATAGGGTTCAGGTGGATAGTCGAACTGAGTACTCAAACTGAGCCATTCCACCAGTCGAACTGGGAGGATGTCGAACTATATCAACAATCCCGCCGGGTGGACAGACTTGAGACTTTTTGTGAAAAGGAACGGAGAACTGGCGGTCGTTTTTTCGTGGGTCGACCCTCACGACCAGACGGCGCATGGCACTCTTCGAACGAGGGTTTAGGGTTTAGGGTTACCGGTTCACCGGACGGAAGAAATTCAGCAAAACTAGTACCTGGATTGAATAATGTGTATTTCTCAGGACGTGAGAAAAATCTATTTGTCCATCCATATGATTTGGGATGTTCTGAACTTACCCTCGAGTGACTAGGATCCTCTTTTGAGTCCTTTTTTGAGTCCGTGTCACTGTTGAGAAGGTCCGAAAGGGAGTGGGTCTGTTTCAGGTTCTGCCTTGGTTGCCCGCTGGTGTGAGCTTCCTTCTCGATACCGGTCAACTCGAGTGGCAGATTGCGGCAAGAATACCCAGAAATTCCGCACAGGTGGGGGACATGAGAGACCTCCACCATCAACCCAAAATTTGCCGATTGCAGATGCTTCCAGCTGCATCGAAAAACCTGTATTCTGGAGGGGTGGGCCTTCCTCAACAGGCGGAAGAATAGCGAACAACTCGAAACCGCCGTTTTCAAAGCGGAGAGAGTTGTCATGGCGAAAACAGCTCCAAGCCAGACTTTCCAAGTAAGTCCAGCCGCCTTTGGAATGGGTGCCCATCGGGTAAGTATGCTAAGACCACCCTGTGAAGACATATTATATCATATAATATCATATAATCATACAAGAAATCCATATAATATCATAGCATCCATATAATTACAGCTAGACCAACAAACAAGAAACATAAGCCCACCCACCCAGCAGATCACACATGATCACACCGTTTGCGACCGGATGTTTGATGGGAAAAAACACTGGGGACATCTCTGTTTTGTTTTGTTTGGAGACCATCGCTACTAGGCTGGAGGCCATCTACTAAGCTGGAGGCCATCGCTACTAAGCTGGAGGCCATCGCCACTGGGGAGGAGGCCTAAGCTGGAGGCCATCGCTAGTAGGTTGGAGGCCATCGCTACTAGGCTGGCGGCCATCGCTACTAGGATGGAGGCCATCGCTACTAAGCTGGAGGCCATCGCTACTAAGCTGGAGG